GGCGCATTCACCTGCCACCTCAAAGTGGCCTACACGTTCACCGGTCACCTCCAAGTGGTCCGCGCACTTATCGGTCACCTCCAAGTAGCCCGCGTGTTTACCGGCCACCTCCAAATGACCCGTACATTCACCAGCCACCTCCAAGTGGCCCGCATCCTCACTGACCACCTCCAAGTGGTCCGCGTGCTCATCAGTCACCTCCAAATAGCCCGTACGCTCATTAGCCACCTCTAAGTGGCCCACACACTTGTCAGCCACCTTCAAGCTAACGAAATGCATGAAGTGAATTGATGAAGCGTACAAGTCAACGAAACGATAAAATACGCGTAACAACAGAACAAGAACGAACCAAAAAAGCCCATGACGACCGAGTCGCATCAAAACGACTCGGCCAAGGCCAGGTGGCTCGGCCAAGGTCGAGCCTCCTTGAAGTGGCTCGGCCAAGGCCGAGCCACCATAGGGTGGCTCGCACAGTTCTGAGCCACCGTAAGGTGGCTCACACGTATAAGTGTCGAAAACATATTTTTTGATAGTTTTATCGGGATTCTTTCATTCCAGAGCCTCCCCAATTGTTTTGAAGCTATCCCTAAATGTGGTTAATCGGTTATTAACTAAGGATAAGATCAAATCATTAATTCTTATTCGAAAATGCTGCATCCGAAGCCTATAAATATAAGCCTAGGGTCCTACACACAGGGAATCTAAAATTTAGGTGAGGTATTATCCTTACGAAGAGTGAATCACGAATTTCAAAGAGGCTAGTAGATCTTGGTGAAGTTCTTTAGCATAAAGAGGGTGAGTTTGAGAAATCTGAGGCTCATTCCCCTTTCCTCCGGATCAAACTTGGTTTTGATCTTGAGAAGAGTCGTAATCTCACTTGGTTGAGATTATCACTTCTGCGATTGTTTCTTTTATGAAGCAAGAACATTGAATTTACATGCTGTCAATCAGATCTTATCCACGGTGGTCCACAAACTAACAGGTCCCAGGCACATGCAAGGATTCCACGCAAGCAGCGGGTGATAAACGTCCTCTGCGTGTGTTTGAAGAGAGTTGTATTTTCATTTTTTATTCATGTAAGCGAGAAGTCTTATAAAAAACTAACATTTTAGCGAGAAGTCTTATAAAAAACTAACTTTTTGAACTTGTTGTAAACGATTGAAGTTGTAATGAGTTTCATGAATAAACCAATTTTTGATGCAAACTGTCGATTAATAGATTCATCAGTCGACCGACAAGCTTCAACATTTGGGGTTAACAAAGAAAATTTTAAAACAAGTTTGCAAGTTTTTAAGTGTGTTTATGTGAAGAGAGTTACACAAGAGGAGGAGATCATTTCATTTCTTTTTGAGCTTCAATTTCACATCTCCATCACTCTTGTTTATAGAGAAGTTTTGCTAAACTCAATCTCTAGCTTTATATGTTTATTGTTGATTATCGTTTTCTTAAGCTAGATTATAAATTGACTTTACATTTTATTTTACTCATTGATTGCACACACAACCTATTGAGCTTTTAGTATTTCATATTAAGTATAATTTGGATTGTGGTGAGTGATTAATTGAGTGTGGGCTTAATTTAGTTCTCATCTTGTTTAGAGAACAAATTATCTTTACTTGTGCTTAATTATTAAGAGAACACATTGTAATACACAAGAACACTTAGAAAAGTGGTTGGGAGAGACGGGGTCAATTCCAAGAAGAGTGGCGTCGGTTGTAAATCCTAGGGAGATGTAGTAATTCCGAGCACTTGAGGAAGTTAACACGGGCTAGGCCAACACTTAGAGAGAAGTGTATTGTGTATTGACAATTGTATGAGTTGTAAACATTTGTCGGTGAGCATTAAAAACCGATTGTGTAGTATTTTTGGAATAGTGTAGATTCTCTTCGAGGGTGATGAGCGAAAACGTAGGTCGTGGGTCGACCGAACTCCGTGATCATTTACCTTGTGTTTTCATTTGTCATTTGTGCACTCTCTCTTGTTCTTGTGTTCATGTTTATTTCGCCCATTGTTTAATTGTACATCCTTACATATCTCATTGTATATCACATTGTTAGGATATATTAGTTAATAAGTTTTTATATGGCATTAATATCAGATTAGATTAGCAAATACCCTATTCACCCTCCACTAGGGTACTTTTAATTAATAATTATTCGCAAATAGTTTTTGAGTATTCGAATACTATTCAATTTTGAATATTGATTTAGCCTATTCATTTTAAATTCAAATATGAAGTTGAATAATCAAATATGAACCAAATACAAATACCAATAGTGAGGTATTCGATTCAAATTGGTACGTTTTCATCCCTAGTTTGAATAAATTTATGAGTTAATTGCATTTCCATATACCCAAATTCACATGTTAAAATCTTTGATATCGTGAAGTTTAAATGTGCATATTTGTTGACACTTTTTGAGATCCAAAGTTAACATGACTCATTCAAGAACTTGAAGTAAGAACCCTACGTTTTTTTTTCTAGAAACCACCTACATAACAGAGGAAAAATACAAAAATCATCTTTAAAGTCCAGTTAATGCAAAATTCCTCTTTCAAGTGGTGCATGCCAGTCAACCATCTTGATCCATTTTCTAATGGAGTTTTGATTAAAATCTCCAAAATCTCCCCCCCCCCCCCAAAGCTCTACACATGCCACCACCTCCCTCTGACGCCTCACCCCGTCTAAAATACTATCTTCCTTCTTAATTCTCACTCTTCAGCCCTTCCCCACTTCGAGTCCTGGCATTTAGAGTGGGGCTGATGGCGGGGCCAAAGAAAGCGGAGACAAAGGTGTGAGAAAGTGATGGAGTAAGAAAGGAGAAAATCCCTTAAAATACCCTCAAATCCAAACCCTAATTGATCAACTTGCATGTTACCGAAAAAGCTGTCCAATAAGAGAAGGTCCATTATTAGTGAGGTGCGCAAAAGACCCTTGAATTGGTATGCAAATCCTTAAAACTCCTCTGTTATGCTAGGAATCCATAAAAAATATGGGATTCCTAATCCTATTATTGCCCACTATTGAACCGAACACCCCCTACTTTAAGAGCTCTTCTCCCTTAGCACACCACACCACGTGTCTGGTGTACCACGTCCACCGGATATTTTCTCCAAGTGGCAGGGTATAAAAAAAAGGGCAAAATTTCGAGAACACAGCGTACAACTCGAGGATTGAGAAAGTAGAGGATTCGGTGCATGCATGTCGAAGTCCCGTGAGAAGGTGAATGTTGCTTGAATGCACATGAAGAAGAAGTATGAGATAAGGTACATATTATACCAACTGTAGATATGAGTTACTAGTGGAGCGCGAAAGTGAGCTGATGAATAAAAAAAGTACCTTAATAAATTGCAGAGGGTTCACTTCTCGCCTTGGAATCAATATGACGGCCCGATGTATGTGACCCCAACGGAGAGAGAAGAGATAAAAAATTGTAGCCAATCGCTATCCCAAAGTGTGAGAAACTAAACAGGTCACGAGCGAGCAACAAGGGCATTTAATGAGACACCTATAGGTTTAATATTATAAAATTATCATTTATGTGTCCTTTTACGTGTGCATGTATTTATAAGATCAAACCTAGGCGAAAGGAGAGCAGAGACAAAGAAATTAACCAAGGGCTCAGAGGAATATTTTTCGAAGCATTATGTCTCATATTGCAGTGGAGAGGAATAGGAGAAGGCAGATGAACGAACATCTCAAGGTGTTGCGTTCATTGACTCCATGCTTCTACATCAAAAGGGTAAGATGAAATTGATCTTCGATCTTCACCAGCTAGTTGTCATGTATTTTTGTCTAATGCTACCATATATATAGAATAAGATGCACATATAAGTATGGTTAAAGCAAGCTTTATTACAAATTATTTTTCTCTACGTCTTCTTTTTCTTAAGATCAATATTTCATATTATTCGAAGCTTTGAAACATTCAAAATTTTAACGTGAAGTAAATTAAAATAATTCATTATTACAAAGAACTTACTTTCATCAGTGATTGAGTATCTTAAGGTTGAATATATGTAGAAGTTATATTTCTTGAGGGATTTGCCTATATATCTAACATTATGGATATTAGTTAAATTATAGCTATATAAAATGATTTAGGTGTATTCTAGGTACAGATGAATTTTACATATATGAATTCAATAAATTTTGGTAATACGTACTGTACAGCTATGCTTAATTACTAATCACAACCAATTGCATCTAAGTGAAAAAATTATAATTTTATTGGAGAGGGTTTGATGATCAAATTCATAACACCTACAAAAAATGCTACAAATGGATATTATCTCAAAGATTGCTCGAGCTTAAGGTTATAAGCATCCAAGAAAGAATTACCCTTCTTAATTTTTAGAGAACAGCCTGGAAATTAAGAAATTAGTGAATGTGGTATGACGAATTAATGTAATAATGTCTCTGTCTCGTAAAATTTTTTTCATGTGCATTATTTCTCTAATAAAGCAAAAAATGTTACTAGTTACATATCAGATTTCTTCATTCGCATCATTCATTGGTTTTAAAACATTACTCATAAGACTTTTAGTTCTAACTATTGTTCATATCTCTTTTACTTAAGTTTACATTTAGTTCCAATTAATATTCAAGAAAAACCAAAGGTTACAGTTACGTACCCTACTGTATATTAATTTATTGGATAGAATCATCCTATATGTATAAAACTTTTACAGTTTAATGCAGAAACACTAATGATTCCTTACTTGAAAATTATGACTAGGGAGACCAAGCATCTATCATTGGAGGAGCAATAGAGTTCATCAAAGAATTACAGCAGGTTCTACAATCCCTTGAAGCCAAAAAACAAAGGAAAAGCCTGAGCCCTACACCAAGCCCCAAGCCTCAACTACTCCCATTATCATTGCCTCAGCCAGTAGACTCTCCTCACGAGAACTCTAAGGAGCTCAGCGTGAGCTGCAATACTCCGATTGCTGATGTCGAGGCCAAGATCTCAGGATCTAATGTTATTCTTCGAACTGTTTCTAAGCGCAAACACGGGCAAGTTGTGAAGATTATAGATGTTCTTGAGAAACTGAGCTTTGAGATTCTTCACCTCAATATTAGTAGCATGGAGACTACTGTGCTCTACTCCTTCGTTATCAAGGTAAGGGGAAATCGGAATCAGACTCTATTTTTACTTTCTAGATTGCAATTTTAGAATATAAAAGGGTTGTGTTTTGGGTTAGTTACTTTGCACCGCAAACCTTAGCGTTGAAACTTCAATTACCTATTTAACAGAAAAGTGCAACTATGGGTCCAAGTACAATTGTTTTTAGATTATTTCCACTATAAATAACTGTGTAAAGAAATTTTATTTATTTATTTTCATTAATAAATAATAATTTTATTAATGTTATATATATCTTAAAATTTGATGGTTTTCATAATAACTCAATTACAGATAGAAAATGAAAAGAACAAATTGAGATTATTCCTTAACAATAATCCTCTAAATTAGAAGGTTTTTTTCATTAAAAAATATAGAGTACTCTTAATTAGAAGTTTTATTTTTTTCATTACAAGATATGGAGTGCTCATAAAAATTAGAATTAACTAAGGAAGCTGATCAGAAGATGTACTATCTCATGAGGTTCAAATGCAGTTAGAAAATACTGAAACCCTAATTCTAACTCAAGAAATGATACTAACTCAAAATAATTGTCATTACTAATTTCTTTTGGTTTTTATGTAGTTGCTTTTATTTTACTTCGATAATGATCTGTGATGTGCTCTAATTAATTTTCCTTCTAATTTTTACGCCCTGCGCGAGGTATTAAAATAAAGATTATATATTTAAGTGCATTGGAAGTTACACTATAATCTGAAATATAACAATTCAATACTTTTTATATTCTTTTTGTTATGTTATTTGAGAAATTTATTATTTCATGCAATGTTTATGTATGCAGATTGGACTCGAGTGCCAGCTTAGTTTGGAAGAGTTAGTTTTTGAAGTCCAACAAACCTTTGAAGAAGTTATTGTATTCTAAAGTGCGAGGATCTATATTTGTCATGAATATACTGTATCCTGCTAATATATGCATGTTTTAAAACATTAATATTGTATTCTAATCAAAGAGCAATATGTTTCTTCATATTTTTACACAAGTCAGACTTTGTGACGTAAGTGCATTACAAACGAATATTCCCGAAATGTGAGCATGATTTAATTGCATTTCATGCATATCTACGCAAAGGATGTTAAAACTTTTCCCCCCCTAAAATACTCTCAAAATTGCATGTATAATCACCACAATGCCCTCATTAACATCTTAATTGCTTCATCCAAAGCCACTATAACTATTGAACTTCCTACAATTTCTAATTTGTTAAATGAAACAATTAATATTAATATCCATTATCTTTCAACAATATTCTTTTTTTTTTGGAGAGAATTCAACATTACTCTTCGGAATAAGTATTTAGAATTTATCATGGTCCAATTATTGAAAGCTTTAATAATTAGGAAAGTTAAAAGAAAACTAAAACTTCCTAAAAGAATCTTCCTTTTCTCATATTAATACAACGTCACATCTAAAAGTTCAATCTATTCTTTTATATTTTAGCACGACTTTAATGCATAAACATGCTTGATGCACGTGTTTTAGTTACCCACTACCTTTGAGTCATAACCATCTTAATATAAATTAATTACTTAATCACATAATTAAATTTAACCCTTCATTTTCTCATAATCCAAATCAAGAAATCCTATCTATTTTCTTACATTTTAGCACATCTTTAATGCATATAGTTGCTTGATGTGTTTTAATTACCTACTCATTTAACTTTTTTTTCTCTAATTATCATCTTCATTTAATTAAGTAATCACATAATTAAATTTAACCTTTGACCTATTTATCCGATTAAATGCTTGCCTTGGATCGTGACTACGCCCTCGTACCGCTTGTCCTGACGCGGCCTCTCTCTTTTGGACCGTTCAAGCTGCACGTACATCAGGTTGATGCCTTCGCCATGCATGCTTGCCAACATCCTCACCACTCGATTGCTACCTAGCAATTTATGTTATATGCTTCATTTTGTTAGTACAAGATTTGATTACGGAAGCCTTCTTCTTCTAAATAGGAGCATGCTCAATTCTTTGATACATGTTCAGATTAGGTACTTGAATCATGTTATTATATTCTTGATAACTAAACAAAAAAATTTCAACAAATAAGGGAAAGAAAATGCGAGATGGGAAGGATAGTTCAATATATATGCTAAGAATATAGAAATAAGGTTATGCAATAATGTATACATCTCTGTTTACTTGCTTAAATGAGAAATTTTTAAGTATTTGAAGGAAATGAGATGACCAAACTATATATTATAGCTTAATATATGGCGTACTAATTAAAAGTTCTGGATGGATATGTAACTTATGCCAAACTCATAATTGGCAAGAATTTCGTTTGTCAATGCACAAGTATAGCCTGGTTTAGTCCTTACGTGTTTCCTTTGTGATTGATGTTCTTGAAGATATTATGTATACATGAACTAGATTAGGAACTACTTTTTGCCATTTGCGCGCACATTCTAAATTTTATGTTTTCCAGTTCTAAGCTTTTTGAAGGCAGATGTCAATGATGAGTGAGCCAGTGGATGTTAATAAGTTACGTATATATCATGTATTACACGTAAAAGGCTTTTCATTATGGGCCCACTAGAGTTCTTATGGCAATCTTAATCATGATCATCAAAGACAAAGAGCAAGGACAAGTGACTTTTTGAACTGTGCGTCAAACTTGTATGAATATCTGATGTTGGTTTCCTCTTTCCAATTTGAATTTTTAGTTTTATTAAAGTTTCAAAACATCTGAGTGTTATTTAAAACATTAAAAATTATTTTGAATCTAGAGCTTATTTTAATTGATTGTTAGAACAATGAAAAATATTGTCATAACTTGGCAAATTTCTCCTAATTAATCTATGGCTTGGTTAAAACTTTTAGTTATTGTTCTTAAAAATTTCTCGATTCAATATTCCTCGTAAATTTTTAATATATATCACTTTTATAACAGTAGCATCCCAATTTATTGTTGTTCTAGCATTACAGATACTGCAATTTTTTGAATTTAGTATAATTTAAAAAGAGAACTAACAATATAATATTCTGAATAAAAATATTATCTAGGAAGAAGATATTGAAATTTGGAGATATACCATGTATACTAATAGCAAACTCTAATATGATAGACTGTGATCTGTTGTGGGTCCAGCCTAATTGAGGCTCATAAGAACTAGATCAAATTGGTTGTATCCTAATAAGAAAAGAATTTGAGGAACCTATTCATAATTTGAATAGGAAATGAGGACCTAGAAATAAAATTTCTTTATTAAAGCAATTGGGGTACGTATTATCTTCCTATAGCTACAGTAAACCGAGAGTTGTTTTGAGGGTTGTGCGGATCTCGAGGAGAGAGAAAAATTGAGATTCCGGATAGCTCGGTTGTCCGATTGCAGTGTATCAAAAGCCGTTGTCTTCAGAACAATGACGTCATAAAGGGTACGGTATTGATTTCTCTATGGGAGTTAGGCATTTGTGGTGAGATGGGTTTTAGGGTTTTGGTACCCTAGAGGTAACGCTATATTTTTCTCTTGTGATTTGATCCTTAAGTTCGAGTGTAACTTTGAGAGATTGTACTCTCGATTGATAGTGGAATGTTGCTCTTTGGATTGCCCTATAGACGTAAGCATGATTTGTCGAACCACGTTAAATATTGGTGTTTTCTTACGTGTGGTATTTTCATTAGTGTAGTTATCTGTTTATTGTTTAATTTCGCAGATTAATATTTATAAAATTCTTAAAAAGTAGTATCAGAGCCCTAGTTCGAGGCATGCTTTGGGATGAAAAAGATGGAGAGTTTTGGCACAATGATAAAATTGAATGGTTCCAATTGGCAAGTATGAAAGTCTAAGATGAAAGATATTCTGTATTACAAATATTTACATGACCCTATTGAGGGAGATGAAACTAAGCTAGAAAAGATGACTGATAAAGAATGCGAGAAACAGCATAGGAAGGCAGTCGGTTATATTCAGATGTGGATCGACGTTAGTGTGTTTCATCATATATGGGGTAAGACTAATGCAAAGTCTCCTTGGAAGAAGATTGAGAATCTCTACGAGCAGAAGACCAAGGGAAACAAGGCGTTTATTATAAGGCGGTTGGTGAACTTAAAATTCAAAGAAGGAAGCAACATAGCATGGTACTTGAATGACTTCAAGAGCTTGATTAATCAGTTAGCTACCATGAAGATGACTATCGATGATTAGTTACAAGCTTTATTGCTATTGGGTTCTTTGCCAAATAGTTAGGAGACACTGGCTGTGATGGTCAGCAATGCAGCTCTAGATAGCGTGTTATTAATGAATATGGTTACCGGTAGTTTATTCAATGAGGAGACTCGAAAGAAGTCTATAGGCACTTGTTACAGAGAACAGGGGAAGGAGCAAGTACATGGACCAATCCAGAGATCGTGGTACATCCAAGGGTAGATCAAAGTCTAAAGGGAGAGGTTGCTTACAGTGTGGAAAGCTGGGTCATGTCAAGAAGAATTGTTAGGCATGGAAGAAAGAGCAAGTTGGGAACAAAGATAAAAATAAAGATGAGAAGAAAAAAGCAGATAGTGATACTATAGCTACTTTGTCTGAGACCGATATTATTATCATTTTCAGGGAAGAAGATTGTATGCATGTTATAAGTTAGAATTCTGAGTGGATAGTGGATACAGGAGCTACCTATCATGCTACCTCCAATCGAGACCTTTTCATGTCGTATAAAGTAGGTGACTTTGGCAATGTGAAGATGGATAATACTAGCTACTCGAAGATTGTGGGTCTTGGTGATATACACTTGCAGACAAATATGAGATGCATATTGATCTTGAAAAATATACGGCATGTTCTCAATTTGTGGCTCAACTTGATTTCGGGTCTTACTTTGGACCAAATGGGATATAAAATTTAATTTTGTGGAGGAAAATGTAAAATCGCCAAAGGCTCTCTTATGGTAGTTAGAGAAAGTATATGTTGCAATTTATACAAGACTCAAGCGAAGGCTTCATATGATTCTTTGAGTGTGGCTCAAGACGTTGATACTCTCAGTTTGTGGCATAGGAGGCTCGGGCATATAAACGAGAAGGGATTGCAGATATTGACAAAGAAGTCTCTCATTCCATTTGTCAAAGGTTTGTCACTCACCTCTTGTGATTATTGTTTATTTGACAAATAACATAGAGTTTCTTTTAGTAAGCCTTCGAAAAGAAAAGATAATATCCTGGATTTAATTTATTTTGATGTATGTGATCCTATCGAGGTGGAGTCCTTGGGTGACAATAAGTATTTTGTAACATATATTGACGATGCATTAAGAAAGATGTGGATTTTATTGTTGAGGATAAAGGATCAGGTATTTTTAGTCTTCCAGCAGTTTCATGCCATGATGGAGAGGCAGCTCATGCCATAGTGGAGAGGCAGATAGAAAAGAAATTGAAGTGTTTTTACACTGATAATAGAAGGGAGTACACTTCCATTGAGTTTAGAGATTATTACTCCAAACATAGTTTTTGACATCAGAGGATAGAGCCCGGCACACCGCAGCATAATAGAGTTGCAGAGAGGTACAACTGGACTATTGTGGAGAAAGTCAGATGCATGTTAAAGATGTCGAAGTTACCTAAGATCTTCTGGACTGGAGCTGTTCGTACTGCATGCTACATACTCAATAGGTCTCCTTCAGTTCCTTTAGGTTTTAATATTTTAGAGAGAGTTTGATCCGAAAAAGATATTTTTTACTCTCATCTGAAGGAAGGAGAAGAGACAGAAGCTTGATGATAGGGCGGTTCCTAGCATCTTCCTTGATTACGGAGAAGATGAGTTCAGCTACAAGTTATGGGATCCAGAAAAGAGAAAAATTATCAGACAAGCAAATGTAGTTTTTTAGGAGGACCAGACTATTACAGATCTCGAGAGAGCAAAACAGTCAGAGAGTGTTGCAAGTGAGATTCCAGATATAACACCCATTTCGTTTCCAGTACAGTTGTATCCTACAGATACAGAGCAGGTGC